AAACTGTGAATGTTTATATACTGCCATTAAGAAAACAAAACTCTTACTTGCTAGCGGAAAGCTGTACTGATTTTAGCACTTAACCTAAGAAAAGATCAACTAGCTCAAATTAACTATTAGTGTACAAGACCTACTGATCAGCTCAGGACATACGAATATTAAGATCATTTTCTTGGATATGAATGGCTTAAAACAAAAGCAAACCAAACTTCAGGTTAGTTTAACATTAAGCAAAAATGTGAAGTGCCATTTATTACACCATACCCACTGCAAGGTCACTTCTATGCAAATCCAAGCTGCCAACACCATACTAAATCCAATGGATTTAAGACCTTACAGATGCTTCTCAACTTGAAGATCGATCTCTCTGGAGTTAATACCATAATGAGTTGGGTTTTTTCCATCAGAGGCTGTGTTAATATTACGAGAAAATAGTGGAGCAAGGCACTGCTAATGCTTGAAGCCACCTAAGCCTTGTTATACCATCAAGTCTTCCAATGAGAGAAGTTATGACCAACTGTCCCTTTATATTCAGGCCTAGTCTTCTGTTAGCATGAAACTCACATCATATTTCATCATCTGCAAATTCTGACAGATATTAACAGCATATATGCTAGTTTTTGTCAAAGTCGCTTTTAAGCATCTCACTAACTCAAAAACAAGTGTAAATAACTGCAGTTCTGTAACTGTAGATAACATAAATACAGGACAGTTTCACTAGACTAGTTTAAGGCAGTTATGCACTGGTAATTCCTGGTGAAAGACACAAGTGATTGTTACTGAATGTTTTTTTTCTGCTGTATCAACTGCTTAAGTATCAACTTAAACACATGTACAAAACTCAAATTCTGTTGAAAACTGTGGATTGGAAACAGGTCAGCTTGTCAAAACAACTACTCGTACTAGAAGAAAAAACATTTAATTGCAATATCCACAGGAAGCCTTTGACCACAATCTGAAACAGGAACAGTCCTTTAATAGCCACTTCAGCTTTCAAGATGCAGGGACTAGGTATTTTTATCTGTCATCTCAAACACTGTAATGTTAAAATCACCTTTGAATTGTAACAAAGATCTGCATAATGAAAAGATTACTTATAATTTCTTTTATGCTAGCTCTCACCTGTGCTTTGTAACACAGCTTTCTTCTAAAGTATGCTGACATTATTTCTTAAGAAAAGCACTGATTTACCGATGGGGCATCTATAAATGTATCTTAGTCGAATTCCCAAGGAGGAAGTTTTTTAATCCCAAATTCATTTCACTTAGTAATAGTAGTTAGTTATTTTTAAATAACCATTATGAGTGACAGAATTAGGTACATTCCTCATCCCACTAAAGAGAAAAAAAAATCTGAAAACTGTTACTTTAGATGGCAGAACAATACTGAAAGCACACTTGGAACCAGGAACTCAGATCTGATACATTCCATTCCTGGCTTTCAGTTAATGACTTGTGTTCATGTAAAATCCCTTAAACTACTATGATTACTCATCCTATAGTGTAAAAATAGATACTGAATTATCTATGAAGCATTTAAGACATTTTTAGATCTGAAGTATTTAACGCTAAACAGTGTCAGATTACACTCAACATTCACTTGGCATTGAAGTGGACACACTGAAACTAAGAGTTAAAATGCACAACCTGGTTTAATCACTGCAGATAAGGAATCAGTCAACTGAAGTTGGATTTCAGGTACTGCAAGTCATTTAAGTACAAGAAAGTCTGTTTTTACTTACCATTATCATCTGTGCAATCAAATGACACAGACTATTCTACTGGCTGTGCAGCAGAACTAAGTGCATTTCCTAACTTCCTTAGTGCAAAGAAAAAGAGTTAAGATTCCATGTCTTTTCTACACATTAGTGACCAAAGGAAGTACACTGTCACACGAACCGTGCATAGGGAACTCTCACCAATAATCAGCCAAATGAATCATTCTCAGACTATGGGGAATTAGATTTTTCACACTCCCAAGTTTTACCTAAATGACTATTTGAAGTGTTGGCTTTAGAGTGGACACCAAAAACTGCATGAACAATTATCTGAACTGAAATGTATTTTGCAACTCAAACTTTAAATATTTGATCTGCATCTAAGTACTATATTACCTAAGTGTTATGATTGTGTTTTCTAGACTTCACAGATGATTTTCCTAGTTGTTTTTTTTTTTTTAAAAAAAGCTTCTACCAGGTACCTGGAAGTCTGACCATCTAAAGAAACTTTCACGAAGATAGCTTTAAATCACATAACTCAGTGCATCCAGATGAGCTCAGCTGTGCAGCATCTGCTCAGGAGTTGGCCATTTAAAAATATGTATTCTGTGCAAAAACTAGTAACCAGTTATATATTGGTAAGAAAAAGGTATAATTACATGAGACAATCACCCCTCTCCAAATTGCCAGTAAACTAACAAGCTAGTCCTAGTGGCACTTTTCAACAAATATCTTTTTGTAACAATCAAGACAAAGGGCATCAAAGCAGTCACTCTTTCATCCCATTGATTTTTAACGTAAGTTAAAAAACACACTTGCAAACTGTGACCAGATAACTGTGAAAATCAGGCTCCTGGAAAGATTTTAACATCAGAGCTTCTAGGAAGCATTGTTTATTTGTACTAGACGGCTGTAAAGTGACAGTAACTTATTCTTTCTTCCCCCACTACCTGTATTAATGATCAAGGAGTCTTCAGCTCAACTTCCTCTCCTGTTGCCACATCCCATTTTCATCTGACAGAGCAAATGGCAAAGTACAACCTGGTGTTTCCTATGCACAACTAATTCAACTACTTAGCCCCACACAAGAGATGTCATGTGCTTGTGCTGGAGCTAATTCAGCAAGACACTCCATAAAGACAGACGATTAAGTCCATACAGTCATAAAGCCAGGAATCAAGCTTCAGGGCATGAACACAGACTCAAGCTTGCACTTTACCCATTTTAATTATCTGAAAACTGTATTGATAATTTCACTGCCTTGTTGCCTACTTCAAAACTTGCTACTCCAATTTAAACAATATTTTCCACTAATATCTCACTAACATGAGAGAATAAGTCTTAATGTTGTGCAGTATATCAATTTAAACACACTCTTTTGTGAAAACGTTGTGTGTTTATTTATGTCCATGTTGCTTTTCAGATGTTGCCTTTCAGTTTTATTTCTCAAAAAAGAAAAAGCCTCCCCTCACTGGCATATGGAAGCACTAAAATAATTGCTAGGCTGAACAGGAAAGTTAAGCCTCTGAAGAATAATCAAAGGCACAGGGGATAAAAAGTTGCAGCCATATATAATATTTCTATCCGGAAGTTGGGAAACCTGCCTTTAGAGGACACTACATTTATTTTAAACTATGTCATACCCCCTCACCCCCAACAGGAACAGAATTAGTATTCCTTATTTTAGATTTTAAAGACAGTATTTACATAAGAGTTGTACAACGCAGAAATTCAGAAACTGGTCTTAGTATCTTATTGTAGTAACAGCCTTCCTACAACAGTAAAAACACAAACTTAAGTTCTGGATCATAACAAATCTCCTCTTTAAAAACTGAAAAGAAAAAAAAAGGTACAGTTGCATGTCCTATATGAAACCTTTCAAACAAAAATGAGTATTAAAACAAGAGTATAATTTTAAAAGCTGTGTATTGGAGTGTTTATAAACCAGAAGTGTTAAGCAGCAGCAGTTTCCGGTTTCTTATTAAATTCAACTAGACTTGGAATTTAGAAACATGTTACAAACCAATGTGGAGCTATACTACTTACACACCTTTCCAGGTGTTTCAGTAAAGAAAGCCTCCTATGAGAATAAACAGAGGCAGCACATTATATTAAGTCAAAACTTGCCTTCAACATGCCATAAAGAACTGCATCATATGTTCGCTTATCACCAAAGCACCCCCTAAGAGATGCATTATTGCTGTAGAACATTTCAAGTTTACCAACACCCAAGTGCAACCAAACTGATGTTGTATATATGCACTTGCCCATTCTCACCAGTATTTCCACTTAATGGTTTTTCCTTTAAACAATCAAATTTAAAGCTTTGAAAAATAACAATTTTTTGATTTTAGGTTTTTCTTTTTTTTTTCACAATATTAATCACCACATGCAATTTAGTTTTCTGGTAATTTTTCTAAAAAACTGCACCAATATCAGAACAGTGCAAATCATATTTAATTGTAAAAGTTATAATGGCTTGAGTTCATAATTAGAGGGAACACTGTCAGGATATTGGTATTTTGCTCACTCACCATTGCTTGCATTCCATTAAAGACTTTCCTGTCAATTTCGCCTTTTTTTTTTTCCTCTTAAAATAGTCATCCCCCATGCTTTTATCAGAGCTGAAATTAGGGATTTAATCCACAATTTCAACACACATAGCGCCTTAGTTGCAATGTTTTCATGCACTTCCATCTACTGTTACAATTCCATAAACGTATTATCCCCTGCAATACGTTTCCAGACTAAGAACTAGTCACTAGCACTTGTGATCCAACAAGTGTTTTAAGGTTTTCAGCAATGGAGAGATTTCAAGATTAAGAAATCTGAGGACTTCCCCTCTCCTACAGCCCCCAGTGTTTCATTTCATAGCAAATTCAAAATTGGTTTCCACATCTTGACAGTGTTCCTTATAAAACCGTATGACAGTAAAAGTGCCAGTAGGCATGGCAACCTCTTTGAAGGGAGCATTTAAACTCCTTGGCACTGGGAATGCCAGCACCAAGGATTACATTGAAATTCAAAGTTATACTTAAGGCTACAATTAGAAAACCCACTTTCCATAAGCCTAATTTCTCTAAGTAGATTTGAAAATTCAGAAGCTAATGCAACATTAAGTTTTACGCTCGAATTTGAGGAAGAAATAAGAAATTTCTTTAGCAAGGGCAGTATATGAAACTCTGGTAGCAAATGTCTCTTAGGCATTGACTACTCATTTCACCATCATTCACTTACTTTGTCTTAAAGTTCAAAACTGGCAAGGCACATTTACATATTCCAATGAATACTTGACAATTTTTAATTACACTTTATGTCCCAGCTATCCCAGTAATTGACATACAACATACTAAAATGGTTTATTAAGATAACAAAAAAAAAAAATCAATTAATGTGAAAACATACAGGCTATTGGCAACCACTATTCTAAAAATTATGTAAATACAAGTAAACATACTGAAATGTGTGCGATTCTAAGTTTTTAACCAGATCTCTGTACTAACACACATTTATATTAATGACACATAAAAAAAATAAAAACTTTATTACAAAAATAAGTTACACTCGCCTCCAGCTTACAGTATAAAACAATTTTATTTGCAGGAATGCAAAATGATTGTTTGCCATGAGCATTTTCAACATATGACATGTCTAATTTTGTTAAAATTTGCATTTACTGGGGGAACTGGTGTGTATAAAACCTTAATTAGGTATAAGCTTCAATTTTCATTGTGGTGCCTATGGGTATGTAGTATAACTGCAGTATCCCTTTGTGAAGGGGGTTAAGGGAACTCTTTATGCCAAGTCCAAAGTAAGTCATAATTTTATCTATCTTTTACCTATATGAAACTGGACTTGGCAAGGTTCTGTTTTTATTTTGTCTTTTTTTAAGGGTGGTTCAATAGAGGATGCTTCACCACTGAACACTCACTGTCATCAAGGTGCTTTAGAAAATTAAAAACATAGCACAAATGATTGTACTCTACTCTACAGGTTATCATGATCTGCATAAGAGAAATGGAAAGCTGATCCACATGTTTTTACAGTGATCAGCAATAAGAAATGCACTAATGAAAACATACCTTTTACCTAAAAAGCTAAACTACAGCCATATACTATTCTATGATTTATGAAAAACTTCAAAATATCCAAATGTCAGGCTTCACTGTACAGTTGTCAGTTTTAGTCTGACCTTTTATAAAGGGACACTGCAGTATTTAGTACAAGTTGCTGATGCACTTTTTTTGAACATCTGATGTCTTACAAAAGTAACATCTTGCTAAACTATTATACATCCAAATAACTACAATATCTGAAGAAGCAAGGCTGCTTTTTCAGCCACAAAATACGACAAAAGCAAGGCCTGTTATGATGGTCATGAGGAAGTCTTACAAAGCCTCTGGAACTAAAGGCAACTAAGAATGTTACATTTGGTATATTATAATCTTACCCTCATATCATATTAAACAAGCCTTGCTTTTATCTACAAAGATTTTCTATGTACAGTACAGACAGGGTATAGTTCAATCCTCTGCTACTGAGGTAGTTAACCAACCCTTTAAAAAAGGTTCTGAAAAGAACCACTATCTGGAATGCCTGACTAACCAGCTCTGATGATTACACCTGAAACTGCTGTATCTGAACACAATTCGTAAGTGATTACTAAATAGACAATCATGATTAACCTTCATGAGCAGAAATAAAATTTAAGGATACCAATGATGGTATTCATCTATAGCACTGCAATAAAAATTAAAATGCAAGAATTTGTGAATACCACTTTTGGAATCCTTAACTAAGAAAACTTGGGGGAAAAATCTACTTAAAGCAGATTTTTTAAAGAACAACTTTATTCTTTATTAAGATACCATGCTAGACGTTAAGGATTTTGTTGAACACGTTGGGGAAATAGAGTAGCTTTAGTTTAATAACTTGCACTGCAGAGAAAACTGTTAAAGAAATCCATTTCAAAGTCCAAGTATTAGTTCAAATGTCCCATATTTGAATCCATGATCTTCGCAGGAAGGTCTTTTGCAACAGAATATGCTCCTATACAGCTGAGATACTTAAGGTTGCTTGATATCCTTACCATTACTCCACTGCAAGCTTCTGGTGTAATCCCACATAGCAAGTCAGTCTTCATTGTAACAGGTCAGGACCGGCCTCGACCCCTTTTCCCTGCTAGCCAGGTAACAAAAGGAATCAATTAGATAAATCATTTTAAACTCTGGTCTGTACATTTGTTAACATAAAATCTTAGCAAAATGAATTATTTTTAAATAAAACTACTAGACAAGAACATTCTGCCTTCTGATTGCCACTAACTTTGGAATTTTGCTATGGGTGTTTTACCACTTTGTCACAAACTGGTATTATTTTAAAAGTTAAGCTTTAAACCTTGAATCACCAGCTAAAGTTTTGCGCACTGAGTCACAAACAACTTTACATTATAGAAAATTCCCAGTAACAGTGATATAAAACTTAGTGGTTAAAGTCATCATGAAAACACGTTGAAAATTGAATCAAGTCTAAGCATAATGTGACTTGCAATCTATTTATGAATTTCAATGACCTAACTGCTTTAGGCATAATTTTTTTAAAAAATCACAACTTTCAGGTGCAATCCTTACTTTTTTTAACTGTATCCAGAATCCAAGATAGTAGTGCCAAAATGAAGAAGAAAAAAAAACACCTAAAAACCATTTTCAAGGCAGTTTTCAAGACGACTCATTTAGCGGAAAAGCACCACTGAAGAAAACAGACTAAAAAATTCTATATATTAT